AATATTCAAGTACCCCAAAATGTCATGTTATTCACATGACTTATGATTCATAAACTGCGATCCAGCCTATTTTGAGGCTTGACCTCCTACAAAGTGCAACAAGGAAGAAATAACAATTGAACTAAAGTTTTTATAGATATTGGCTCAGCGACCACCTTATACATAACATCTCTCAATGCCTAAGATAAAGTAGAAAGGTTTTGTAAGAGATCTCTCTAGAAACCTTGCATCCACAAAAATCCCCTTATTTGCGCTAAGGGTAACAAAGTCCATTGTAGATGTTTTTTAAATACCTATAATGTGACTCTCGGCCTCCCATGTCCCATGAAAAGCTCGAAATAGACCATCAGGATGATGGCATGTCCAACTCATGACATTAACATTCTTACACTTTTCATACATCCATTGGTCAACCAGCCTTACAAACTCCTCCAATACCATAAACAAACCTTAATCGCTCTCAATGTCTTTCTATGTTGTAATATTTTTTACGTCCCTACATAGGTGTAGCATCTTAAAATGAGACACGAGACTAGAAACACCCTTACTTTAATCTTTTCCATTATGAAAACAAAGAACCCTCGAAATAGACAATGAGAACCACTTATCTAAGTAGAAACCTTTATAGAATGCAAAAATTTTCCTATTTTCTATGCAATACAAAATATTTATGGTTGAAGAATTTTATCAAACGGGTTCTGGGCATCCACGAAAGAGAAATTCACCATGGTTGTATTTTTTTCATGCACTGCTGTGTTTTTCATATCAAGGAAATCGGGAGAAATAGAAGATGAAAGAGATAACACACATTGGAGTGTGTTTGCATATTAATTTTCCTTTTTTAAGTGAATTGTTAAATATGTGTATTATTGCAATTTATACCTTCAACAAAAATTGACAGAACTGCCAACAAACACACATGACTTATTGAAAATGCAGCTCGGGAGGATTTTTTTTTTTGATATATATGGATGAATTTTAAATAGAATCAGTAGACATGGCGAAGAGATTGAAGATAATCATGTTTTTCAGTATCTTGATTTTTAATATAATTCAAAGTAAATTGATATAGTTAAATATTAACATCATAAAGTATATTTAATCATGAACGAACGATAAACTGACTCATTAATGGTGACCAACTGCATCCAAACATAAGAGGGGGAGGGGGTAAATTGTCTTATTAAAAAATCGAAAATAATTTATAAATTTTTATTTTATTTCGAAAAAGTTTATGTTAGAAGAAACAACCAATAAGAGAACTAGAAGTTGAATAAATAGAAGGAGAAAAAGAAGTAAGATATGCAGCATAATAAAAATAAACAACTAGAATTAATGATATACTAGAGAGTAGGATTGCACCCGAGACTTATACAAGTTCAATCTAACTATTTGACCTACTCGTGTTTCCAAGAGTTTTCTTTTGAGAGTTGCACTAAAATTAACATTAAATTTTTATAAGATCATCCCAAGTAACCTTTAACAAAACTTGAATATTTTACACATGATCAACTCATAAATCTTCTAACTAAAAACAGAGGTTTTACACAGAATTAACTCAAGAACTTTCACCCAAGATTTTTTTAGGTTTAATTTTCAACATTTAAATTATTTACAAAAATATTATACAAGAGAATCACACTCTTGAATAGAACAAATTTATCACAATACTAGTACAATACAATTCATAAAATGAATTTTTCATTTTCTTAACACTAAGACAACTCTAATGAAGAAAAAAAACTTTAGAAGATAGAAAAATAAAAAGAATAGTAGAACATTTCTATTCACGAAACATGTATTTAATAAAATGAGTATGTTTATATTCATCATTTAGAATACTCATTAAAACCTGTCGAACTCGTGAGATAGTGTACTTGACTTTTTTAGCGTCTGGTTTTATTATTTTTTTTAAAAAAGTTACAAAGTCAAAGAGCAATGTTATAAAACAAAATTCAAATCCAACACCATATATAAAGAATGATCGATGATACATTTTTTTGACATTAAAATATAGCTAATTCTCTTGAAGAAATGGTTAATCCAATTTATGGTCAAAATGTCAAAATTATAGTTAATTCAATTATATGATTTAACATATTTATAAATTTAAAATGTCTAAATCACATTGGGTTGAACTTTGCACCAACAATTTATACTCATTAATATATCAGTAGAACTAACCCACTTATTATTACTATGAACTTGCTTGATTTGAGGTTCCTTGGTTTCTTAATAATATTGACAAATATTAAGTCTTGACTTCAATAACGGTTAATTAGTTAATTTGTTCAAAGGTAAAATTTCAAATAGGGAAATTTTCAAGTAATGATGACGAGGTGAACCTGATTTCATAATTATTTTAATCTTAATGTTTTACAAATGTTTGTCGTTGCATAGCTTTCTTTTTTAATCCTTTTTTTAGCGTCATGACTTTCTTATTTTAGAATGTAAAATGACTTTTAATACGAATACACTAAACCCCAAAATAAGATATCTTTACTCTTTGAACAAAGTATACAAAAACTCATGCATGATTCAATTTCTTTTATATTCAATCTACTCAGTCAAAGCATGATACAATTATCATCTAGTAACCATATCTGGGGTTGCATGCATCATCCTTTTGAATTGCTTGCAACTCTAAATCTCTGTCAAACCAAGAAAAATCTTTGGAACTTTAGATATTTTAAATATTTTGAATGATCCACCTTAATATTAAGTATCAACATCTTATTCTTTGTTCTAAGCAACCCTACTTCTAAATAATTTGTTTCATCTCTAAATTACAATTGTATATATTGTATTGTTAATAATTAATCGAATATGAAATGAATAATATAAATAATAGATTAAAAAATTTAACTTTTTTATGTGAAAGTAATATTTTCTAACTCATAATAAACATAACAATTTGCGTCGCTATCTTTTTTTATGTCCAAATTAATTCGATTAGAAACTATGTTCGAAGTTCTAAGAGACACAACATTGTTATGTATGAGCATTTGTATTCTCTATAAAAGATTTATTGTCTTTAGTGCTAGGAAGTCAAAACTGCTAAGTGTATGGTATGAAAAAGTGTTGATTGTCTAAACACCTTTCTATATTTGACTACCACTTTACTTGAATCGAATTAGAGAAATTGTGATATTTTGGATCGAACTCTAGTGTCAACAATGACAGTTTTATGGTTCGGCAGAAGGTTTAATATGAAGTCGAAGTCTGTTCACATACTAATCTTGTATGTTGTAGTCAAAGTATGCTCAAGCATGCAGTAATTGAAATGCTAGGATTGTTAGCATGTCGAATTGGCTCTTACTTGTAAACTCAATTGTTAAGTTAGCTTAATAGTCTATAAATAGACTAGTTCTCTCAGGTTGTTGAGAGAGGTTAATTGTTGGTATTCACTTATAATCTTTGAATCCTTATTGAGAAAGTGAATAGTAAAATAGATTTAACCAATTCTCTATTCTTCTTTCTTCTTCTTTTTTCCTTTGTGAAATCTAATAGGGTTTCTTGTTTGTTCAAGAAACTCAATCTTTATCTCATAACTTTGTTCTGTTATTGACGATATCGTTTCACAACAAACTAGTGCGGTGAACGTGGAGGAGAAGATATCGTCAACAAAGTATGAAATTGAAAAATTCACCGATGTGAATGATTTCGGCTTGTGGCGCTTGGAGATGCAAGCACTTATTGTTCAAGAGGGTTTGTTAGAAGCGTTGAAAGGATCAGAGATGATGAAAGTTACTTTGTTACCTTATTTGTGTAGAGTTTGTTTCAAGGTAGAGATTTGTGGTATTTTGGATCGAACTCTAGTGTCGACAAGGGTAGTCTGATATTTCGACAGAAGTTGTGCATGTTGTAGTCGAAGTCTGTTCAAGTATGTTGTCAAAAGATATTAACTTATAATTTAAGTTAGTATGTCGAACTGCGTCTTACTTGTAAGCACAATTGTTTAAGTTAGTTTGTGTAATGAGTCATTAGGTTAGTATGTTAGTTTTCTTATAAATAGTATGCTAGTCTCTCATATTTTGTAGTGGTGAAAATTCTAATTAGTGTGAGAGAGGTTAATTGTTTGTATTCACGTAATTTTTGAATTTTTATTAAAAAAGTTAATAGTAAAACAGTTTTAACCAATTCTCTATTCTTCTTCTTCCTTTTTCTTTCCCTTTTGTAAAATCTAACAGGATTTCTTGTGTTTGTTTAAAAAACTCAATCTTCTCATAACTTTTTTTTACTAATGACATCGTTTCACAACATCAGATAATACAAGTATGAGAAGTGAAGAACTAAGTGCAGATGATAGGAGCAAGTTGTATGCTACCTTGTTTAGACAATTGGTATAATCACTAAGATAATTATGTCAAAACAAGATAAACATAAGTTTCTTATTAGGATTGGTAAACAGGTTTATGAGAAATACTCTTAGAAAATATGTTTTTGCTACAAAAATGATCATGTGATATACCAATGGTACACTGCACTATGGTCTTCTATTTTTATTAGGAAAAGAGCATAAAAAGCTTGAGCTAATTGGATTCTTTAATGCAGACTGGTGTGGAGATAAGATTGATAGGAGAATTACAATTGATTACTTGTTTAAATTTTTAGGAAAACCAGTGTCATGGTATTCAAAGAAGCAACAAGTGAGTTTTACCAAGTTGTGAGACTGAATATATTATTGGTGTTGATACAGTTTGTCAAGCAATTTGACTTTTGACTTCAATCCTTATTGTATGATTTGATGATCAACTTGGAATAACCAATTAAGATGTTATTAAGGGGGATACTTATCATTTTATTATTATTTATACATCTATTATACAATAATTCAGCATCTGAATTTTATTTCCATAACTAAATGACACATAACTCTCTAAAGTATACTTTACAAAATAAGTCAGCAACTGACTTTTATTTCCAAACTTAAATGACACATAACTCTCTAAAGTACAAATTGAAATATAATTAAACAATACAAATCAGATAATTAAATATCATGCATAAACAGTAGGAATCAAACACAACTCACTTTTTCTTCCAATAGCCAATCCATAATGTTCAGTCATATCCAAATCCTCATGTTTCATATCATTTGGTAATTCCCAATTAAAATGATAGAGTAATAGTGCCAATGAAAGCATAATACCAGCAATACCAAATGATAAACCAGGACATATTCTTCTTCCTGCTCCAAAAGGAAGATACTCAAAATTATTCCCTTTGTAATCAATAGAATTACCATCAAATCTCTCTGGAATAAAACTTTCAGCATCAGTCCAATATTGAGGATCTCTTGCCATAGCCCAAACATTTACCATTACTTTAGTTTTTTTTGGTATATGATATCCATCAATGTTGGTTGACTCAGTGGACTCTCTAGGGAGTAATAGAGGAGTTGGTGAGTGTAGTCTTAAGGTTTCTTTTATCACTAGTTTTAGGTATGGAAGATCTTGTATATCAGTTTCAGATATTATTTGTTTTCCTTTACATGCTTCTCTTAATTCAGATTGTGCTTTCTTCATCACACTTGGATTTTTCATTAGTTCTGACATGGCCCATACTATTGTTGATGTTGTAGTGTCAGTTCCAGCTGCAAATACGTCCTAAATGTGCAAATGATATAAAAAAATTATAAAGTTTCTATAAATACAAAATTTATAAAATAAAAATAGAAGAAAAAGACTAGAACTAGTAATTATACCTTCAATCTAATAAATAATTTTGAAGTGTGATGATAAATTTAGCGTTGTGTCAAATATTGACTTTTAAAATATGTGTAACTCTTATTGTTTTGTACCGGTCAACTTTCAATAACAATAACAAAAAGGTACCGTCATATGTCAAAAATCATAACAAATTAAAGATATAATGCACTCACTACATTGAGATCCGCATTTAATCCTCACCGTAAATGCTTATTAATAGTTAGATATTATTTAAGGATTCCCTATGTTCTACATCGGAAAGCATGAAATACTTCTAATCGTACTTCATACAAAAAGTGTTTCTCGCGAGATTTGAGATATATTCTAATTATAACTTACTTTACTCTTTTGTAATTCATTCACTGATTTGACTGTTCACTGATTTAAGTATTAGAGTGCTAACTTTGATGATTTATCTTTTATCCGTCACACTGAAAAGTTGCCCTAATGTATCAAAACTCTTCACTGAACATTTATAATTCCATAATGGAACAATAACACCATATGTAATAACTCGAAGTTTGCACCATGACCTTTAGCCTCGACTGAGAGTAATTGTTTTAGGCTAGCTAAAATAGTCTCATATTAGTTGTGAATCGAGGTTAAGAGTCGTTTATATAGAACACACATACACCTCAATTAAATTAGATGACTTTTTTAAAGAAAAAAAATTGGGAAGATTCTCACACTCAAAACTGATAATACTTCATGACTGCAGTTACACGGACTTAAAATTAACCAAAATATCAGTGTTGTCTATAGAAACTCGAAATTTGCATTGTACCTCTTAACCTCAATTTGAGGAAAATTGTTTTGGAATGACCTAAATAATTTAACATTACTTAAGAGTTGGGAGTCTAGATTAATGATAGATTATCTACAACATTCATACACCAAAACTCAACTCAATTTGAGGAAAATTGTTTTGGAATGACCTAAATAATTTAACATTACTTAAGAGTTGGGAGTCTAGATTAATGATAGATTATCTACAACATTCATACACCAAAACTCAACTAGAGACATTCCCTAAAAAATAAAGTCGTGATAATTCACAAATAAAGCCAGACAATATATCTCGTAATATATTATTAATTTATCTTTCTTGTTATTCAAGGATGGTTAACCTCTCTAAGCATTGGGTGATGAGTTGGATGATTGTAAAGTCATAAGGATTATCTTGTATAATTTTTAAGGTTGCTAAAAGACTTTTACATTTTTGTTACTTGCTACGACATCTTTGATATAAAAATTTTAAGTTGTGATAGGAGCTAGATTAACCAAAAAGTCAATCACTTATTTTATACATTTTCCTATAAAAAAATTATATTTGATAATGAATGTACATGACTATTTGATATAAAATTATTTATGAAAATTATTTTTCATTTATTTATCATAATTAATTTGAAAAAACAAGAATATGACCAACATATTAAAAATGAATAATGATTTAAACAATCAGAATTCGTTGACATTTGATATAAATCTAAAGTCTTACATCCAATGACAATAGTTAATAGGTATGAATTAAATAATTATTTTTTTCTTAAAAAATAGATACTTTTTTAAGAAAAATAAATATTAAATATATTTTTTAATCTTTTTATTTAATTTTATATCATTGTTTGATTTATTTCTATAGCAATTAAGAATTGATGTAAGATTTTTATAGAGGTGTCAGATGGATCCTTACTCATGTTTTAAAGAAAAATGTAGAAAGTTAAACAATATAACAATTAAGTTTTGTCCTGCTAAATAGAAAAAATTTAAACAACACCACGAAAAATTATATCAAAAAATACTCTTTCCACTTTGGAAATTAAACTAAATACTTATAATTTAAAATAAGAGAAATGTTCATTTAACACTGATTTATACACTTACACAATAAGTTATACCATAAAAATATTTCAATATTTTTTTAATAATTTGATTTTTCACTTTCGTTTTCATACAGCTAAAAAACATGAGTATGTATACGGTGTAAGTGAATATGATGTAATAAAATGGTGTAAACATAGCATGCCTCTTAAAATAATTTTCTCCTCTCCACTCAAAAAGTCTCCCAATTAGACGTCATTTGAAACCTAACTAAAATTGAAAAAATAGGAGAAAAATAAAGAAAAGTTTCTGCTATATTCATGCTAATGAAACTTGTGGGTTTGACTTTTTGTTTTTTTTTCATTATGGGCTTGACTGAACGTTGAAAACAACCTTTGAGTAGAAAAAATTCATAAAATTTTAAATCAATTAATGATTGTGATAAGATGAGACACAAATGTTGACAAATTACGCAAACATTACTTTTAAATTCTAATTTAATTTAATTATAATTCATCTAATTTCAACCTCTTAAGAATAACACATTATATTTTTAATAAATATAAATTTAATAATAATTAAAAAAATAGTTAAATTTATTAAAAATAATAAGGTATACTATTAGCCCAAAAACATATTAACTACATCAAAATATTATTTTTTCAAGAACATTATTAAATATTTATTTTAAAAAATGTAGAATGAAATTATAAATAGTTAAAAACTGGTTTAACTAAACAAATAATATTATCAAAATAATAAAATTTAATATTTACTTGATTTATATCATAAACGGTAATTAAAAAGGATCAAGATAGAAAACATTTACTTACAAAAATCACAGCTTTTATATTGCTTGTTGTAATAGGAATATCAAGGCTTCCATCTTGTTGGATTCTCAAAAGAACATCAACAAGATCTTCAGGCTCTTCTTTTGCTCTTTTTTTCTTCTCTTGATGCTTCTTAACAATTATTTCCAATATTTTGTCAGCATTTTTATGCACTTTCTCCAACTGCGATTTCGCGCCGGTTAGCACATTTATTATGAACTTCATTGAAGGAAATAAATCAGCAGGTTCAAGTCCTCCAACAGATTCTATAGCTTTTCTTATCACGGTAACAAATTCATCTTGGTCTTCTGATTTGTCACCAAAAGCGGATCTCGAAACAGTAGAACTCACTAACGAAAAAATTCTGTTAGTGAGATTTACTGGCGACCCTTCTGATGACTGAATTGATTTTATAAAATTTTTGGTCTCGTCTTCTCTAATATAAGCAAAAGATTGAACTCTTTTGTTGCTTAGAAGCTCTAACATACATATTTTTCTCATTTGTCTCCAATAATCACCATATGGAGAAAATGCAATATCTATTGAACCATATGCTATAACATCAGCTGCTTGAATATGTGGCCTATTAGCAAAAACAACATCATGAGTTTTTAATATTTCTTTTGCTAATTTTGGTGAGGTTATAACTACGGTTGAAATTTCACCAAGTTTTAGATGAACAATAGGTCCATATTTATGAGCAAGTTGTTGAAAAGCACGATGTGGAAGTGATCCTAATGCTGCTATTTGATGAAGGTTACCAATGAGTGGTAACTTCATAGGACCAGGGGGTAATTTGTAAGCTAAGGTTTTTTGTTTGTAATATTTTGCAAGCAAATGAGATATTAAGAAGAGAAGGAAGGGAATAACAAAGGAGGAAAGGTTAACTTCCATGGTTACAAATGAAACTTTTCTTTTAAGGAAGAAAGATTGTAATACTGTTTGTGTGTTATTTTATGAGACGGTTGGTTTCTATTTATAGAACCATAAACATAGCTATTATATGATGGGATAGTAACTTCTTTTCTTTTCTTTGTTGGTGAAAAGTATATACTTTAAAATATGTGATTTAAAAGACCGGAAAAAGTCTTGGGATTGGAAAGAGTCTTGTTAAAAGTAAATCTAAATGGAATATAAAAAAAATTAAAAAGAATATGGTCATTTTTTTTCTTCTAAAAAAATTAGTAATAAATTTGTGCCTATATACAGGATACGTTTTTGGATGAAATATTATTTTAGACGCATATTTGTTTGCATATTAACATAAAAATAAGAAGTTAAAAAAAAAAAAAAAACTTAAGAATAATAGTACATTTAAATTGAAATAGTAATACATATAGAAGATGAAATATAAACAACAATATTATTAATAATATGATTACAAATAAAAAACAATTGAAATTTGTATTAAATAAATCAACTATTTTAGTTTTTTTATAAATAAGATAATTATTTTCTAAGAGAGATTACAATTTTAAAATATTTACCCAATCTTTTTAAAGCTCCTTTAAGTTTTCACATATTTGAAGAAAAAAAATTGTCGATAAATTTTTATTATTCAGTATTTGACTCAGGAGTTGTTCCTGTTTAAAATAATAGTATTTTCTTATATATAAATATTTAAATCAATAATATATCTTTTCTTGTATATAAATATTATTTTTGTTTTAACATTATTTAAAAAAATATTCGAATCAATAGTAAAGTTATTCTCAGATATAAAAATATTTAGATTAACAATATATTTTTTTTTATATATAAATATTATATTTGTTTTAACAATATTTATAAAAAAAATTTAAAAATTAATAATAAAAATTATTTTTACATATATAAATATTTGAATCAATCAAAGAATCAAAATAGTTAATGGTGTGGGAATGGGGGAGCAAAACCCATGCTAAAATTGACCTATTCTGGGTTTTTTTCTTTCGCTTCCCTCTATCTCTTTCTTCACGTTTACTTTTGTGCCATAACTTCAAAATTTGTTTCTAGATGATCAATTAAAACAACAGCTTTTGTGGGACAACCAGCCCATACTATACTCTTGTTTTGTCACAGACCTTTTTCAGGTGAATGAAACTACCAATATATTGATGCATGTATATGTATTTCTCAATGTGGAATGCTATTGTAAACATTCTTCATGCTTTTGAACTTTTCTGCATTTCATTTTCAAAAAAAATGTTCGATTAATATTATTTACTACTATATTGCTTCCATGCCTTTTAAAAGGTAACTACATTTGTGTTTATAGTATGTTCACATTCCAATAAATGTATGAACTACCATGCAGATTTTGACGTGGTTTTCTTAGATTTAATAGTATTGCTATTAATAATACAGAACATTAATTACTTATTTTTAAAGACCTTAACTATATTACTATTCAATGGAGTAGTATAGCATAACCCTACTTTTAAATGGAGAGTGGTACATAGTCCTAGTTGGCTAGTAACTGGGAAGATTATTAAATGATTTTTAGTAAGCTCATCAGGTTTAGTTAGTTGTTTTTTATTAGCAAAATGTATTAAAATATAGTGTATGAGATATTCTGACACAACAATTATGAATACATATACAAACTATGCTAAATGCCTAGAGCAAAGCATCAGATTGACAAACCATTCACACAAAAGATAACAAACCAATTTGAAATGTCTGCTAATAGCTTGAACTTGTCTAGAGTTAAGTTACACATTTATATTTTATTATCTTAAATTACCTCAGCAAAATAATTCAAATTTTTACTAATTAGATAAGTTTCAAACAAATAGGTTAAAATTTTTATAAAAAAAAACTAGTGGGATATCCGTGCGGAATAAGGGAATGAAATTATTGCTAAAGAAAAATTGATGAAAATTTAAAAATACAAAGGAAAAAAAAATTATGCTTTAAAAAGTAAATAAATATTTCAAAAAATAAATAAATGTAGAAATATTAAGAGGAAAAAATTAGTATATTAAATAAACTTGAAATGAGAAATAGTTAGGTCATTGAAAAACAAAATGAAAGTAAAATAAAGTATTACTACTTTCGTTCCTTTTTATAAGAGACAACTCATTTTTTAGATTCATTGAATAATCAATGTATCTAGTCTATAAACTGACCAAATACATTGATTAATCAATAAACCTAAAAATTAAGTTGCCTCTTATATAAAGAAACAGAGATAATATTAAATAATGCTATTAAAAGTGGCAAAGAAAATGTAACACGTGAAATTGGAGAAAGTGAAAAGTTAGTGATAAGTATGAGTAATGTAATCATAAATTGGCTATTAAGTAGAAGAATAAAAAAGTAAAGGGCGACAAGTCAGATTCGACACCAGACGTTATTTTCAACAAGTTATATTTGCCTTTGCATATCAACAATTGTGCAACTGTCATATCCCAAATTTTATTCCTAGATTCCATTATCATTTGCATAGCATCCAACACATCTTAGATGTGTCATTCATGCATAGCTAACCCTCAAAATTATCAAGATTTTGTCTTGTTTTGATTTGTTTGTAAATTAGGGTTTGCATCAAGGAGATTGTTGGTTGATCAGTCAGAGTCTTGGATTGATCATTAATATATCAAGCTCTCGTGATCAAGAGTTTTCCTAAATCAATAATCAAGTGCAAAGTTTCATTGAACCAAGATCAATACGTCTCAAGTCATCTGGTGCACCCAAATTAGGGTTTTGACCTAATGCAGTCTCTGATTTAACTTTTTGAGCAAGGCATGATCCAACATCTCAAATCATTTTTCAAGGACCTCAAATGCATCATATTAGTCCACTCATATAATTGATTGATCCAAGGAGCTTGATTCATAAGCAATGCAACAATTCAAGTTCATTTGATGAAAAGTCAAAAACTGATCAAGCAAAGTTTGACTTTTTGGTCAAACATGGGTTTCTCAAGTTAAGAATGATGATAATATGTGATTTGGATCATGATCGATCAAGAAAAATCCAGAAAATTGAGGTTAATTACAAAGAGGGCAACAATGAAGAAATTGAATTTTTTTTCTAAGTTATGGAAGTTCATGATTTTTGCCTAACTTCTCAAGGTCATAACTTCCAATCCAAGCAACCATTTTCTTTGTTCCAAAGACCACAATGAAGATCTTATTACATACTACAACTTTTTCATATGGGTTATCTTCAAAAAAACGCATAGGTTGAGAGATGTGAAGCCATGAAGTGGAGGATTCTTTTCCCTTTGAACCAAAACACTTAGAAAATATTTTAGGTCATACTTAAGCCAGGAGTTTCGAAGAAGGGAAGTTGGCACTTCAAACATGAATTTTAGGTCATTCTTATGGCAAGTTCATGATCAAATCCAATGCCATGCTGCATAATCTTCCTTTGAAGGTCATGTTGCTTCCAAATCTTCACATAATCGATGGATTAAACATACCCTAAGTGCATTATCCAAGTGATTTAGGCTTTGTTTAAAAGATCATTATGTTTAAGGCATAAAGATTGCACTTCCATTTTGATAAAGCACCTTTAATCACAAAGTCAACTTCTTTTGAGCTCCACATTATTTCTTCTACACTCAAACCTTTTGTGGTATAGAAGCAAAGTCTCTGAATTTTCCAACAACTCTAGAAAGCATTGTACCTTGCATTGGAACTTCAAAAACTCATGGAACTACACTTTGGATCCAAACCAAACCATAAACTCCACAACTCCAATTCTGCAGAACCCTCAAACTCCAATCTTTCCCTATAAATAGAGGGTATCTCCTCAGTTCAAAACATAACAAACTCACAAAGAAACATTGAAAACTTCCCTACACACCAGAATTTGCATCAAGGCATCACTTGTGTCAAGAATCTCCATTTTTCACAAACCTCGCCAAAAAAATTTCCATTCACAAAATCATCAAGCCAACCGCTTACACACATAACAAAACACCTAACTAAGGTGTTCAAATCACCATTTTCATCCAAAAACCCTAGGTTCAGAAAGTCAACTTTCAACCCCAAGTTTTGTTGACGTTCTGCACAAAGCATCCCAAGACCTTATTCTGACCTTTTCTAATCCTTTTGATCCTTCAAAAACTTTCCATAAACATGTATTAAGTTGTCCCTAATATCATTTTGCAACTGTAACTTCATTTTCTTGAGGATCAGATTTGCATTTTCCATTGTTGCAAGAGGATTCGAGTTGGCCTTTTGAAGTTGTTTCAAATCCATCTAAGCATTGCAAAAGCATCAAAGGAGGTCTTAAAAGTTATTTGGATCATTATGTTGCTTCTGTAACAAGTTTGAAAAGGCATTAGACCTTCCTCCAATAGGTAAGCTTTTCCAAACTTGAACTCACTCATACAAGCATCATTAGTGTTTAGTTTCTGAAGCAAAAATGTAGTATTTAATGTGTAGATGGTATTCCATAAGTTAATTGCAATTAATCATGTATTTATGTGAAGTTATGCATTTCTGGTCAGTTAGGGTTTATTTTAGGGTTGATGATTTATTTGCTCATTCTTTAATTTTTAGTTCAACCAAATGATACCATTAGTTTCCTTGTGAAATTTCTAAAAAGTTTGGTGTTTACACTTTTGCATTTCATTGAATATTAAGTGAGATACAAATCTTAGAAATTGGAAAATGGAGGTTGAAGATGATGATGTTCATGGCGCCTTTTTTATTTTTAGAACATGTTTTATAATTTATTTTATCATTTCCATTTTGCTATTGAATTAGGCATGGCACCACAGTGGTTGTTTGGTGTTTTCACGGTGAGAATCGGATATCAAGCTATTAATTAACTTGAATCACAAAACATAATTCATCACCGATCTTTAATTTATCCAAGGGAAGGGAAAAAGAACGAATAACCCAAAATATGCGATGCAATGCAAAATAAAAGAGAATCTAAGGTTCAGGGGTTGGTTA